CTGGGCGGAGGCCACGCCGCCTGCAGGAGCTCGTGGCCCTTGCGGGTCGGAGACAGGCCCCCGTCCAGCGGCGCTGCCGAACAAGTGCCATGAAGACAGGCTCAGGGTCTCCCCCCCTTCTCTGTTTCTAAAGTCAATCAACAAAAAATTTAAAAATAAAGAAAAGCTAAGGGACAGAATTTAACATGCGAGCTAATGTTCCTGCGGAGGGGAGGGGTTACGGATGGTCTCTTTGAAACGGGCAGTTGAGATGGGAGGGTGAGTACCCCTTAATTCTGGAAAGAAATCAGGAGGATGATTACCGGTTAATTCTGGAGAGACACCAGGAGGATGAGTGCCCGTTAATTCTGGAGAGAATGGCAGAAACCGTGTTCCTGGCGGGGGTCAGGAGCACCGCATGCAAAGACCTGGAGTCGGGAAGGAGCTTAGGCCTTTGGCTGGTAGCATCTAAGCATCGCCTGGGGAGGGACTGAGCAGGCGGGTACCTGTCTTCACCTGGGAGGTGGATGGTAATTCTTGGTCCTGCGGTTTACTGTCACGTTTTCGTGAAAGGGCCTTCCTGGTTTACTTGATTTAATTGGTGGTTATCTCTATGGCAAAATCTCCCTATTGCTTCAGCTCCTCAGAGTGTCGATTAAAAGGAACACATATTAGAGACCTAAGTTGACAGCCTCTGAATTGGCAGCAGTGTCTGCCTATGTTTCCCTCCTGGTGGGGACACAGACGGGGAGAAGGCCACGGGAGGGAGGAGGCAGACAAGCAATGTCTCAGGTCTCTGTGAACCGGAGGAGGCCAGGGGGATCCCTGTCGAGCTTTCAGAAGGAGCGTGGGACTGCTAACACCTTGGTTGTGGACTTCCAGCTTCCAGGATTGAGAGAGAATTTCTGTATATTCAGCCACCAGGTCCGTGGTCATTTGCTGCAGCAGCCCTAGGAAACCAGTAGAGCAACCTCAGACTTAACAGAAGACAGGAGCTCCCGCTTCCTTTTACCTGAAGAGGGAGGGGTGCTTTCTCCAGTCACCCATCTTCTCTGCCAGGAACCTAATACCCCTGAGAGGTCTTCCTTCAGCTAAGTTCCAGGCAGAAAAGCACCTCGTTTTAAAAATAAGATGAAGATAGATTTAATCTAAAAGACAGGCACTCTCACTTTATGGGAAAGTGATTAACCTAGAAAATGCTAATTGGTAAAATGTTTTTGAAAACAGAGTGTTGTTGGCTTAGATTAAGTTATTTGGTGACGTAGGGGAAAAAGCTGAAATATAATATTTAGCAACCTTTAGAGGAAAATTAAAATAGTGTGATGGATATTAATCATTAAATTGTCTTGACTGTATTTTCTGTTCTATACAGGTCCAAAAATTTATAGTTTTAATTCTGCAAATGATTCTGGTGGTCCTGCAAATCTGGATAAATCTATTTTGAAAGTAAGTACCAAGGTTTGGGGCCATTTCAAGAAATTTTCCCTTTAAAAAAAAAAGATATTCTTAAATGTAAGGAAAAGAGGAGTATTTAAAGTTTTTGCAAATAGTACACTAACTACTAATCTATACTAAGTAAAGTAAATCACACACATGTGTTGAAAGCCAGTAAAAAATTAAACAAGGTTGGATAAGTCTGAATTTCTAAGCATAGCATGTCCTTTCCGACCTAATGCCTTTTCTGCCTCTTCTCCACTTGAAGTGTTAGTTCATCCCCTTGTTCCCACAAGTCCCATGTGACTTTATACCTGCAGGCTTTTGCCCATGGGTGCTCTGCCTAGAGTGCCCTCCTTCCCTGTCTCCGTTTGTCACATCTGTGACCTTGCTGAAGTCCTTTGTAAGTCACCAGGTTGATTTTCTTGGTGGTTTCATCAGCACTTTATATATCTTTTTGAATAATTGCCATGGTGGGTTACAGTTTATGTATGCTTCCTATGCTATACTGAATTCCGGAAGTATAGTTTTGTGCTTAACTAATAGTAGGCATTCAGTAAAGATGTGATAAAGAGAAGGTATTTTTGTAGGCAGATGCTTGTGTTAGGTTAAAAATATGGAAGCAACAAAGGATTCAATGGCTAATAGGAAAAAACAGAAATCAAACTCCAGAAGCCAAAAGAACTTGTAACCTAATTCCCTTTGTATAGATTTGACTTTTACTGGCTGTGCACTTTTTCAGTGTGGCCTCCACTCTTTCAGGCTGTGATGGGGCTGGTTTACATTGAGGCAGAGTATTGGGCTCCACCCTAAGAATGCTGATTCAGTACAGGGCTTAGGAATCTGTCTTTGGAATAGAGTCCAAGGGAGGTCCCAGGACGATGTCCTGAAAAGTGTAGCTTCAAGAGGCTTTCGAAGAGAGTTTTGTTTTTGCCATTGTTTCTTTTTCCATGCCCCATTTCTTCTTCAATATGTGGCAGGAATGTTCTAGTGGGTGGTGGTCCAAAGTACAATAATTACCATATCTGATTTTAGCTAAAAGTTTGGCCTGGGTTGGCAGGGATATAGAAAACTGATTCACTTCAAATTATTACTAAATGTGATTTCATAATTCAGCTCCTAATTAATATCTTTTTGGCATCAACAGGTGGTGATTAATAACAAACTAGAGCAAAGAATTATTGGAGTCATCAATGAGCATAAAAAGCAAAATAATGGCAAGGGAGTGATTTCTGGAAGACTTACTGCCAAAAAATTACAGGTATTAGGCATACTTTTGAAGTTCCTTATTTTTAGTGGAGCATCACATGAGATAAAGTTGCTTTTTCCATTTCCATTGAGATTTCATATAGATCATTTCCACTTCTAGAGCAGGGACAGAATTGTGTGAGATACAGATGTGCACATTAAAATGGTGATATGACAACCAAATTATTCTCTCAAAATTATGCTGTTTTACCCTGTAGGCACTCTCCTTACCTTTGCTGTAGCCCCACAAGGCATGTTGCCCACTTTTCCAGTGAAGGAATTAAGCTTGGGAAGATGATGCAGGCTGTAGCCTGAGTTATTAACTAGTAAGTGGCAGGGCAGGCAGAGTCCGGATGGAGACCCAGGTGTGTCCAGCACTAGAGATTATGCTCTCAAAGGACATGAAAATGCTTCCCTTTCTGTGTGAACATGTTCACTGGAGCACTTCCTGTAATAAAAATGAAAGCATCCCAAGGCGTCACCAATGGGAAAGCGTATCCTGGCATGTCTTCCCCGTGGAGTGTTGTGTAACTTAAAAGTGGTGAAGGGTTTCTGCTGACCTGGGAAGACGCTTACGTTACCATGTATATCTTAACTAGATAGTGAGAATATGAACAATTTCTCCAGGCCCTTGTAAAATTTAACCATAGTTGTTAAATTCTCAATACAGTGAGCACATTTAATTCTTATCATTGGGAGGGAAAAGTACATTTGAAATTATAATTTGTGTCAAAGATTTTGTTTTAAAACGAATGGGAGAATAAAATTAGTAATGAAAGAAGAGGAAATTGATAGGACGTTTCCTGTCTCCCTCATAGGGTTTATACATGGCCCTGCAAGCGTTTTCCTTTAAGACGAAGGACATTGAAGATGCCATGACCAGCACCCTCTTACACGGAGGGGACCTTCACTCGGCTCTGGACTGGCTCTGCTTGAACCTTTCCGATGGTAAGCAGAGTGTCGTAAAATGTTAACCTTTTGAAGTCATTTCCATGGATATGATATTTGCATCAAGCTTTTGACTTCAGATTTTTTCACTGTGCTCTAATTATTTATTGTTAGAAAGTTCTTATTGTTTTTACCCTTTTTGGTGTGTGCTCCCTAGAGGTGTAGTATGCAGGACGAAATTAATTTTGTGTGTGTTGCTTTTAGTTGTTAATAGTCATTTTACAGTGCACTTAATAAAACAAATTCTACAAGTTTGCCTGTCTGTAACCTAGTAGGCTGGGTCTCCTGGTTTTGGTCTAGAAATCAGGGCCATCTGGCCTTGGGTAAATAATATTGGATTAAGGAGAGGGTCAGGTTGTAATCTTTGGCAAGAACCTGTGTACATTGCTTGTATGATTCATTAAGCATACTACTGTGTCCTGTAATAAGCAACAAAGAGTGGAAATGGTTAAGATCTTTCTATGAAAATTTAGGAGTCTACTACATCGAGGGAGTCTACTATCATCTGATGAGTGTTCCACATCTGGTTTGATAACCCAGGTTCATCATAGGATTTCTATTCTTAGGAGGTGAGGGGTACAAGAAAATCAGGTGCCCTTTGTCTAGGCAGGGTTTACGTATGCTTTTACTAAATGTTTATGTGCTTTATTATATCATATGCATGTTTATTTTCATCTCAATTTCTCTTAAGATGCACTTCCTGAGGGATTCAGTCAGGAATTTGAAGAGCAGCAACCTAAAAGTAGGCCAAAGTTCCAGCCTCCTCCAGCCCCAGCCACTGCTTCACCTCCATTGCAGCCTAAAACCAGGAAACAGGAAGAGGAGCCTAAGACTAAGGTAATTTAAGAATTAGACATTTAAAGTTGAATAAAATCACAATGAAGCATATAGTAGTTCATAAGAGGATACTTGGTTGCCACAACATTTCTACTTGTTGTGTGTAACCAACTTACTGGTTTGCCAGACACCTCTGTCCTCTGTTTCAGTTTCCTGTTGCTACCTAACAAACCAGTGCAATGTAACCCAGCAGTATTCTCTCACAGACCTGCAGTTGGGCTGGGCTCAGTTGGGCTGTTCTTCTGTTCCACCAGGTGTCTCCCAGGGCTGGTTTCTTGCTCACATGACTAGTATCTCAACCTGGGTTAGCCAGGACTAGCTAGGGTTTCCTCACAAATGGTGCTTCTTAATGGCATTTCACTTCTAAGAGCAAGTGTTTTAAGATGAAAAGCCCTAATGTACAAATCTTATCAAGTCCCTGCTTGTACCACTCTTGCTAACATCCATTTGTTGAAGCAACTGACATGGCTAATTCCAAAATCCCTGTGAAGGGGATTTCAGGAAGGAAGTGTGAATACTGGAAGGTATAGCTCACTGGGGCATAACCCTCAAATACTCTGCTATTGTAAAACACCTGGGAGCCTGGATGAACTGGAGAACATGCGAAGTGGAATAAGCTGGTCACAGAAGAGGAACACTGCTTGATCTCACTTACGTGAGGAATCTAAAATGGACTTGTGGTGGCTACCAGGGCTGAGGGAGGGGGAAATGTGCAGTTGTTGCGTAATGGTTGTAAAGTTTTAGGTATGCAAGTGAGTAATTTCTGGAGATGCTATGTGCAACACTGTGCCTGTAATGACAGTACAGTATCGTGCACTTTAATATGGGTTGAGGATGGACCTCAGGGTAAATGTTCTTACCACCACTGCCCCCGCCTCCGCCCCCAGCCCAAACGCACGCACAAGAACAGAAGGGAATTTGGGGAGGTGGTGGATGTTTAGTACCTTGATGGTAGTGGTGGTGTCATAGGTATATGCATATGTCCAGACTCTTCAAAATGATGAGTTTATATATGCACACTCTATATTTATTATAATAACCAGTAAATAATGTATATATTAATATATATGTTAAACTTGTGCAATTTTTATGTATCAGTTGTACCTCAATAAAGCTTATAAAACAAAAAACTATGGAAGCACCATCCTCATAAAACCCTTGTTTTTCAGGAATAACACCTGTTTTTTAGTTTTTAACAGTCCTTTCAGTTTTTTGCCCCTCATGTTAACATATTCCTTGGGTTATGCAAGTTTAGACTTTCCTTAGAGTAATGCTGAGTTTCATTCATTTGTCCTTCAAGAGCATGGATTTTTGAGGCTCTGTGTCTCCTGTTTCTGAGTAAATAAATTGTTAAAAGCAGTGACACCTGATGATAGTTTTGACACCTTTTTCTAACTTTGGTTTTTCAGATGTTTGTTTTTTTATTTCTAGCCAAAAAAGGAAGAAAAAAATAAGGAAGTGAATATGAAAGAATGGATTTTGCGGTATGCGGAACAACAGAGCGAAGAAAAGAGTGAAAGTTCCGAAGGTTCAGAACAGGAGGAAAAATTTGACCCTGTGAGTAGAACTTTGTTTTCAGTGTCTAGCTGGAAAGACTCCTAGACTTCCGCTTAAGGAAACTGGCGCTTTCTTAGGAAATTAAACATATACTTGTCATGTGGCCCAACAGTTTCATTCCTAGGTATTTATTTATTCAAGAAAAATGAAAACGTATGTCCACCAAAAAATATTTGTACACAAATAAATGTTCATGACAGCTTTATTCAGAATAGTCGAACACTGCAGGCAACTCTCAAAACATTACACAGGAATGAGAGAAGCCAGACAAAAATGAGTACTTGCTAAATAACTTATTATATTCAATACCAGAAAAGCCATCTGTGCAAACTCTGTAGTGACAGAGAGTAGAGAGTGGGGCTTGAAAGGTGTGCAATGTGCATAGGCAACGAAGGATGGGAAGGCAGCCCAGATGGGTGAAGCAGTGTGGCCAGGGTGCAGAGTGGAATTGTGCAAGGGGCCCTTGGTATTAAGAAACAGATGAGCATATTGAGGAGGAAGTGTGTGGTTGCATACTGGCAGATAGGGGTAAACAGATGAGTTCAGCTGAGACTAGAAGGTTTTGATGCCCAGGAAATGAATGTGACAACTTTTCCTATTGCTTGTGATGGGCCACTAGAGGTTTGGGGTGGTGACAAGAAAAATTTGACATTTTAGGTCAAATTTAGTAGAGTTTCAGGTTGTTTGGAATATTGAATAGTGCTCATGGTGGTTTGGAAAGGGTACTAAGGCCATTTCGGTAGCTCAGGTGTGAGAAAGTAAGGTCCCAAATTGGAAATTGGAAAGGGAAAGAAACATTTAAAGCAAGAATCAATAGAAAATGGTGATTTACTGAATATAAAGGTTAAGAAACCAGACGACAAAAGTTGTAGGTGGAGAGATGGTGATGTCAGTGCCATGAGTGGCAAGGATGGGAAGAAGGAGTGTGCGGTGGGTGCGTGTGAGGAGCTCTCTAACCCTCCTGCCTGTCACACTGCATCGCTGACCCTCCTCTCTGTCACACTGTGTCCCTGTTTGCTTCCACACAAACTGGTCCCGGAATCCAGCCGGGGTGCCTCCGTAGTGCTTTCTGTCCATTCCTCTCAGCAGCGTCTCATAGCAGCGCTGTGTGCGCCCTCTCCTTCCCCACCCCCTGCCTGAATGCTTCTCCTTTGCTGTCTTCATGAACCTCACCTGAGGAAGACACCAGGGATTTGAGTTTGAATTTAAACCAGGGCTGGTTTCTGCTCAGCAGAGCTAAGTCCTTATGTTTCCTAACATCCGTGTTCCCCAGAGGCGTTTTTTAACGCCCTTCTACTGTAGGATAGAGGTTACAGGAAGGCGGCTTTCAGATGAGTACTATTGTATCTCTGCATGTACAGTCCTGTGAGTATGTACGTTTATAAAATGTATAAAGTTTATTTTTAAAGAAATGAGCCATGTACTTTTCATTCTGTCGTTTGCTTTACTGTGTTGATATCAGGGGAGTTTCTGCGTGTGGGTCACCCTCATTCTTGAGTTGCCCGTTTCCCCTAATGCCGACTAGTCCTCTCTGTAGATGTCCACACCCGATTTCTCATTTTCCTTCTCAGCCAGTGCCGCAGTCAACTCCTAGGTACCTGCAAGTCTGCACACTTGTATCATTGCTCTGTGAAAATTCTCTGAAAGTAGATTTCTTGGATCAAAGAGTAAGAATAAAGGCCACAGGTTTGATATAATCCAGTGACAGGAGATAAGTAATTTTGCTCTTCTGTTTTCTTCTCACCTTACTTGGAGCAGAATGAAAGGTACCTGCACCTTGCAACAAAACTTCTGGATGCAAAGGAGCAAGCAGCTACCTGTAAACTAGAAAAAAACAAGCAAGGGCAAAAGGAGGCTCAAGAAAAGATAAGGAAATTCCAAAGAGGTGAGCACTCAAGTTCCGCTCTTTCCCAACAGTGTGTGGCTGGGTTGGCAAATGTTTCCTGCCACAAGCCGAGGAGTAAGTGGAGTCAGATTTGCAGGCCTTGCAGACTCTGTCACAGCTGCTCACCCTGCTGCCACGGTGCAGAGGCCGACACAGTATGTGAGCAAAGAGCCGTGTTCTCACAACACTCCCCACGTGGGCACTGAAACATGAATTTCATAGTTTTCACCCCACCAGATATTTTCATCGTTTCATCCTGTTAAAAATGTGAAAATTATTCTTAGCTCAGGCCACATGGGGCTGGATTTGGCCTGCAGCCACAGTTTATGAATGTCTGGTGTATGTACCATAAAATAGCACCTCAGGGAGGAGGAATACAGTTCCACCAGTACTTATTTCTAATAAACAGTTTATTTTAAAAATGTTAGTATGCCATGTGAAAATAAAGTACCTCTGACTTTTATCGCAAAGTCCTAGTAGGAGATGTTGAACATTTGGCTACAGGGGAAAAGATGTTTTTTAAAATCATCTTTGCTAAGTAGAAAGGCATAAGAAACAAATACATAAAACTAAGCATCATGTTTTTTCTTGGTAGAAATGGAAACTTTAGAAGACCATCCAGTATTCAATCCAGCCATAAAGACTTCACATCAACAGAATGAAAGGAAAAAGCCTCCTGTAGCTACAGAAGGGGAAGGTGCTTTGAACTTGAACTTATTTGAAAAATCTACAGCTGCTACTGAAGAAGAGAAAGGTAAAGTGAAGGGAAAGTGTTTATTTGTAATGTAAAATGTCAAGAAATACATAATTAAGAAATTACGTTACTTTGCATTCTAGCAAACTGTGCAAGATGACAGCGAGGTTCGCTTCCACAGGCTGTCTTGGGAAAGCAATAATTGCTATAACTTACTTGTGCAGCGTGTTGTAATTCAGCCTCATCCCCCCGTTTGCCCTCCACACTCCTGGAATTACCTTTCCGTCCCACAGATCTGAGTGGGATCCCGTTGAAAACCTGTAGTCAGTGACAGGTGCAGTCCCTTTGTCACGTCATTGAAGACCTTTGCCACTGGCCGCAGGCTCCTTCTGCGTCGTGCTCTGGCTTCATACTGCAGCCCCGCCCTTCCAGAGCACACGCTGTTGCCGGGCTCCCTGGCCGTGCCCAGCCTGGCAGCTCCCACTTCCCTGCCTTTCCCTCACTTCACGCTCAGCTCGGACAGCAGCTTCTCCCAGCCTCCCGATTCCAGCCGCGCCCAGACGTGGGCACTGTGTGCTGCTTTGTGCGGAGGAAATTGCTGATACAGCTGGTATGGTATTTAGCAGCCTGTAATACAGTCAGTCACATCCCACTGGATTCTTAGTTCTTTTAAGTGTGTACTCTTTCCACAGTATTTATTGAGTCCTTATTGTTCAGTGTCAGGTGCCATCTGAATAGTCATTAACAAAATAGCTTAGTCTCCGCCCTCCTCAGGTGTACAGCCTATGAGAGGAAGGTAAGCTTTAAATATATACCAACAAATAATTATAGATTGTGGTGTGTGCTATCAAAGAAAGAAAGCTGGCTTCTAATAATAGAGGTAACAAGGGGCCTAGTTTGGATTGAGGAGCCCTTGTTGCTGACTTGCCCTGAGTCTGACAGATGCTTGGGTGTTCACTGCTGACGAGTTAGGAAATCTCAGATGGAGGAGAGCCTAGCACAGCCCTGTTCAACAGAACACTGATTGGAATGTTCTGTGTCTGCACTGTCCTTGTGGGAGCTACTGGCCAAACACAAGGACAGAGCATTTGAAATGTGACTGACACAACTGAGAAACTGAACTTTTAGTTTTAATTAATTTAAACTTAGCCACGTGTGGCTACTGTGTGGGACCAGGTGGGCTTAGAGCATCTGAGGAATCTACAGACAGCAGTGAGCTGCTGCGGGCAGACCATGGAGGCTCTGGAGAGCGGTGAACAACTTGGACTTTATTTTATATGTAACATGAAGCCACTGAAGGTGTTGGTGGCAGCTGTTAAGCAGAGAAACGATATCTGACATACCTTTTCAAAAGATGAACCTTCCTGTGTGGGAGCATACTAAACACAAGTTCAGAGGATCCTAAATAATTTATCACATGGGTAATATGAGGCATCTACAAGAATACAACTTACTCAAGGCAGTTTTTTAAAGATTCAGATTTTCATTTCTCTCCATCACAAGGATTCCTGTGCAACCTGTCCATCTGTCCTTTCTTCACCTGTTTACTTCTAAAAGCTTGTTCCCAAAAGTGAGAGGACTTTGGTCACTCAAAAGATTGTATACAGGGTGGAGCAAAAGTAATTTTACAGTTGTGAGCACATGAAACAGAGTTAATGAAGCTGTTGTAAAAATCAGGACCTGTGTGGGTTTCCATAGGAAGCGCCAGGAACCTACGTTGCCCATCCTGTGTTACTGCAGGACCGTTTAATACCAATCTTCGTCTATCATTTCAGAGAAAAAAAAAGAAGCTCACGATGTAAGAAATTTTGACTACACTGCTCGAAGCTGGACGGGAAAATCTCCCAAACAGTTTCTCATCGATTGGGTCAGGAAGAATCTTCCCAAGAGTCCAAACCCTTCCTTTGAGAAAGTTCCAGTAGGTAGATACTGGAAATGTAGGTATGTGATTTTGGTTAACTGAGTGGCGTTTTAGAAAAATTGAAGGTTAAAATCTGTTGGTTCGTAGGAGTTGACATTTAGGAAGCTCTAATTCCACATGTCAGGTTCACAGTGCTTGTAAATCATCAAGTACACGTCTTCCTTGGAAATATATAATTGAAATAATTACTGTCAACCCAAGTCACTATTAATGGAATCCTGACTATTTTACTTTATCATTTTATTTAAAATTTCTTTTGGCGTCTTTGCAGGGTAAGGGTGATCAGGTCTGAAGATGACGTGCTGGTGGTATGCCCTACAATCTTGACGGAGGATGGCATGCAGGCTCAGCACCTGGGGGCCACGTTAGCTCTCTATCGTCTGGTGAAAGGGCAGGTGAGAGCAGTGGCCGTGCTGTATTTTGTCTACTTAGAACTGTGCGTGGGGCGGTGGTGTGTGCTGAATAATGGCCCTCTGTGCCTGCCCTCTGCTGACTGCTTCTTCTGACTAATCCCCTCCTTATTTATAATTTTGACTTCCTCTCACCCCTATTCATAGCTTGGTCTTTCCCTCCTTAGACCAGAGACTGAGACATTTGACTGGTTCAGATGATCAGGACATGCTAATTTAAGGACTAAAAATCATTGTGCTAGGGGGGTGAATTAAGGAGGATTTTAAACTTTTCTTTAGTGTTATATTCTCTGTCAGCCTTAAAATATTGTAGATGTTGGTTCCAGTTTCAATTTTAAGTTATATTATCTGTTGGCTACCAGTTTAAGGAAAGATTGAAGTAAAGCAGTACTGAAGGTAGCACTTCTAAGAGAGCACAGTGCTCCCTGGGAGGACTCTCTGCATTTCCTTTTTCCTGTAAGTGTATATATATTTTTTTCATGGAAAATGAGAACCACTTAAACTGTCAGGCACTGAATAGGTGGAACTCCAAACAGTAGTTCTTTCCATTTTCTATCAGTAAAAATTCTTAATGTCTTTGTGTCCCTTATTTTGCAAAATAAGGTGTCACAAGCTAAGCTTAAGTGATAGAAATGAGCGACTATCGGTGTTGTAGAGATGGTTGTGAGCTCTCTTCTAGCACCAAATCAGGTGACGTGGATTCCACCCGGGGTGGTTGGTTTATTTAAAGTACTTGGACCTGTGATGGTACACAACTGCTAGTGTCTTAGAGACTTAGCCTTAGAAATGAGTGTGGGTCACCTGCATATCCTCATAGCAGCACTGCAGGGATAAATGAGAAACAGCTGTTTAGTAGCTTACTCTGCTCCAGGAATAAGCACTTTACATGTACTAACCTAAGTTTACTTCAGAGCATGCCAAGAGGGAGGGAGGTAGTTATCAACCCTGTCTTACAAATGGAGGAATGGGACACGGAGAGGGTAAGTCATTGCCCAGGTCACACCACTAGTAAGTTAGAAGCTTGAATGTGACAGGCTATTTCTCAGTGTGCACCATATGCATGTGCATCTTACATTAGAGTAGTAACTGGCTAGTGTAAGAGAGAAATTATATTTCAGGAGTAAGATAGCTGTCCTAGTTCTAACCTGTAGGATTCTGGTTTCCATTGTTAGTGAAAATAACGCTGCTGCTTGCTTCTTTTATAGGCAGTTCATCAGTTACTTCCCCCAACCTACCGAGCTGTGTGGCTGGAGTGGAGTGATGCAGAAAAGAAAAAGGAAGAATTAAATAAGATGGAAACCAATAAGCCACGTGATCTTTTTATTGCCAAACTTCTGAATAAAGTAAAGCAGCAGCTTCAGCAGCAACAGCAGGACTGTGAAAATAAGAGAGAGAACTCTGAGGATCCTGAGGAGTCCTGGGAAAATTTAGTTTCCGATGAGGATTTTTCTGCACTGTCCTTGGAATCAGAAAAGGCAGAAGATTTGGAACCTGTTAGAAACCTCTTTAGAAAGCTGCAAAGCACACCTAAGTACCAGAGGCTTCTAAAGGAAAGACAACAGTTACCTGTGTTCAAACACAGGAATTCAATTGTTGAAACTCTCAAACGTCACCGGGTCGTGGTTGTAGCAGGTGAAACTGGGAGCGGTAAGAGTACTCAGGTTCCACATTTTCTCTTGGAGGATTTGCTTCTAAATGAGCCGGGGACAAGTAAATGCAACATTGTCTGTACCCAACCCCGGAGGATCTCAGCAGTGAGTTTAGCCACAAGAGTATGTGACGAATTGGGCTGTGAAAATGGACCTGGAGGAAGGGTAAGCTGTTCGCCGCACCCCAGTGGAGGGTGACGTCACTCGCCTTTGCTCTTGGGATCCAGCTGGACCTGCACCAGATGACGAGTGTGACTGTTACTGGTTGGTCACTAGCTCATCTTGGGCACTCGTTCTGTGTGATGGGTGTGATACAGTGCCACTCCTTCATGTGGAAAGGGCTATCAGTGATTCTATCGTTAAAATTCTCAAATCAAGGGAAAATGTATTCAGTTTAACAACTGAATATTCAAGTATGTTACTTAATGAATTGAAGATTCAAAGGTTATAGACAAATACAAATTTAACTCTAATATCAAATATCTGAAGTTTTTGCAAATTTTTTCTGTGGAATGTATTCTTGAGTGGTTTTCATTATTTCCAATGAGCAGAAAGGAAAACAATGTAGAAGAAAATCCTAGGCCATTTTTAAGCCCTGTGTTTAAAACAAAATAGAAGTACCTCAGTACTGTTGGGCATTTTGCCGGTTGGTATACACAAAACCGGCCAGACCCTGGCTAAGCGACTGCTGAACGCAGGAACTAATAACACTGGTTAGGACCAAATGTGAATCCTAAGCTCATATAACTGAGCTTGATTAGGCTTTGGGTTCTACCTAGAGATGGTAGTTAACATCTTTGCCTCTATCTTTAAGATGGGTAACTCTTCATAAAAATACTTTGACTTAGCAAATTGTTTGGGTTTCTCTCATGGAATGTAAGAGGAGAAAAGACAGTTTGTCTTCTGAGGAACTTACAGTGAGGGAATGACAAGACATGCACACAAATAAGCAGGGATGCTGAGGAAGTGGGAATGTGGTGGAATAGACGTGACTCGGGGGCCCCGTCGGTCAGCACTGGCATCGTGTGCTGCTCTTCCTGGGGGCAGCTTGTGTGAGATCTTGACAGGAGAGCAGACCAGTTGGAGGGGCTGCTCGAGACTTCTGTTTCTGAGTACCTCAATATTTTGCTCCAAGATAATAAGAAATTAAACATCTATTGACATTTTTATGATCATGTTATGGTACTCGAACAGAAGCTTTTTGTCTCAACTCTTTGAAAAGAACAAAGACTTGTTTAAAATTAACAAAACAAATGTTATAGTTGTCTGTGGCTGAAGACTGTGGGAAAATTATTTTGACAGTCATTTGCACTAAGTTGATTTGCTTCAAGCGCTCCTAGTAGCAGGGTCAGCCTGTGCCTCAGTCTCCCAGGCAGGTCACGTAGGAAAGTCTAACCTCGCCTTGTGTGCTCCCTTCAGAATTCTCTGTGTGGATATCAGATCCGGATGGAGTCTCGGGCTAGTGAAGCCACCAGGTTACTCTATTGCACAACAGGGGTTTTGCTAAGGAAACTTCAGGAAGACGGTCTCCTAACTAACGTGTCTCACGTGATTGTAGATGAGGTGAGTAGACTCTTTAGTCATGTTCGCAGACACTCTAAACATTTTTGTATTAAAAAGATGCTACTTAAAATTAATACTAGCCAACATTTTCTTTGTGCTTATAATGCCAGACACTTTACATATAATTACTTAATTTTCTCTAACAAATGTGTCAAGTTGATTTATGTAGTAAAGCTAACAGTTGCAACAGTGCTAGGTGCTCTCTAAGGACTTGTGTATGTAAGTTCACTTACCCCTCCAGCCATCCAGTGCAGGCATTCTCTCTGCTTTACCATCCAGGAATTGAGGTAGAGAAGTTAAATACAGTAGCTGTGCAAGGTCACGCAGCCAGTGGGTTCTGCAGCTGGGGTTCAAGTTCAGGACTCTGGCTGGGTCTGCTCTTACAGCGCATTGCCTCTCCACTCCTTTCAGTTGTTGAAGGGTTTTCTCTGACTCCTAGAACAAGGGATCTTCCTGGACATGCCTGTCTCTAGATGTGTCTGTACTTGAATCTAATTTGAATTCACACTTAGTTGGATTATGCCAGGAGTTTCACATCGGAATTATCTTAAATGGCAAACTAGTCTATATATGAAAACTGATTTGCTTTGTACATAACTTTCTCAAGAAGAAATAAGATATATAGCATTTCTATTATTCAAAAAACATTTTAAAATTTCCCCTGAGGTAAAGTTGTTATGACTGTGTGTTAATTTTCTAAATTCAGAGGCAGCAGTGAAAGTTCAGTCATTCATGGACTTTTAGTTAATAGATTACATATAGATAATTGGGTTGTTTTTCTCCTTTGGGTTAAAAAATATTAGAAGTTTAGAAAAATGAAAATAGAAATTATAATCTCATAACCCAGAAAAAAAGTCAGTGTTGACATTTAATTTGCATATTTATATGTGTGTGTATTTAGTATGTGTATGTATATAATTCTACAAAAACATAGTTTTTTAGTAGCTTTATGGTATATGATTTGAATGTCCCACATTTAACCATTTTCCTGTTGTTGGACAAGTTTAGATTAAAGTGTCTTCTAATAATCTAATATTTTAGCCTGGCCGGGTGTGGCGCAGCGATTGAGCGTCGACCTAGGATCCAGGCGATCAGGGTTGGATTCCCGGTCAGGGCACATGCCCGAGTTGCAGGCTAGCCGATCAATGACTCTCTCATCATTGATGTTTCTCTCTCTCTCTCTCCCTCTCCTTTTCTCTCTGAAATCAATAAAGATACATTTTAAAAAATAATAATCTAATATTTTAGTGATAAGTGATAGAAATTTTTATTTAGGAATCTTTATTTAATGGGGAAGAAATTGTACTATCATCACTAAGATGTCAAAGAGAAGAAAAACATAGGCTCCAGGTGGCGGACAGGGGCTGGGGTGGCACAGCTATAGCTCTGCATGGCCCAGATCTAGATTGTGCCAGTGTCCTCAAGGAGCAACATAAGTCAGAATGCTCATGTATCTATTCATAATAAGAAATGTTTACTGCTAGGTAAGTTGGAACATTTATATTCAAGAAAACTGAAAAGTTTTCAGAAAATACATATCAGGGTGAAACCTAATTTAAAAGCCAGACCCTGTTCAGGAAGCTGTTTGCAATGGTGTATTTGCTGCCCGGGGACATGACTTACTGAATTGTGATACAGTCAACCTCATGAGCAATACAGTGGAGTAAGGGAAAGGCCCACTGAAATCACCATCTGGCAGTCACCTGGCTTCTCAGTGAAATTTGGGAGAAATGCCCTAAACTTACCAGATGCTTGTGAGCCATCTGCTGAGGTGGAGTCCTACTGCTGAGGCTGATGTTCATTCTGTGCTGGGTTTTGCTGACTTCAGTTTTAGGGGGTGACTTTATTTCCATTTGAAGATCTCCCTCACTTGAAACTTACAGCTTCTCTCTCCCTCACACGTACTGACGATATTTAAATGTTGATTAACTTTTCAGTTTGTGTGTCTGATTATTTTAGCCTCTTACTAGGCCTTACATCTGGTTAATTATTATTTCTTTTTACCAGGTCCATGAGAGAAGTGTCCAGTCTGACTTCTTACTGGTCATCCTGAAGGAGATACTACAGAAGCGCTCGGACCTACACCTAATTCTAATGAGCGCCACTGTCGACAGTGACAAGTTCTCCACGTACTTCACACACTGCCCTATTCTCAGAATCTCAGGAAGAAGTTACCCGGTTGAGGTAAGTTCTCTGTATAATACGTATGTGAACAGCAACTACCTGCCCACCAGGGAGTGTCCTCAGCAGATGGGGCCTCGCAGGCTGAGACAAAAGTGTCCATAGGGTCGTGCAGGTAGAGAGGACCGCAGGGGGCCCTGGGAATCAGATGGCTGCTGCTGCCCTGGCTCAGGGAGGGTCTGCTGAAAGACACGCCTGGGAAGGACACACACAAGACACACCTCCGCATCCCCACTGCTACTGCAGCGTGAGGGCGGCTGCTTGGCAGTGAAGAACCCCTTCTCCCCCCTCAGAGGCAGGTGCGGCTTCAAAGCTTCCTTCTGCCTGTTCATCAGTTTTCACATGAAAACTATACATCATCATGTCATTTGTCCTGAGATGTCCAAGGACCGGCTCATCAGCGTCAATGAAGTTTTCCATTCCCAAGTAATGCAGAAAAAACCTTTTTTCATAATATTCTAAATGAGCACTTGGTGACATTCAAAAGGCAGCAGTCCCCTTCTTCTCTTTAAAATGGTATTTACTGAAATGAATTTGAGTTCACCGTTTATGTGCTTAACCTGTGCAGGTTTTTCACCTTGAAGATGTAATAGAAGAGACAGGCTTTGTCTTGGAGGCCGACTCGGAATATTGCCAGAAGTTCCTGGAGGAGGAGGAGGAGGTGACCGTCAGTGTCACAGGCAGAGCCGGCGGGGTTAAAAAGCACCAGGTACGGAGAAGACGCCCCTCAGTCCTTGCTGGGGTGTGGTTACTGATTTGAGAGAGAGGAAGGGGGAGAGGTCACAGGGTTGCCTCCCACATGTGCCCCGACCGGGAACTGAACCCACAACCTTCTGGTGCCCGGACAGTGCTTCAGCCAACTGAGCCACCCGGCCAGGGCAAAAGGAACGTTTTGAAGGACCTCTGTTGATGCTCCCCAGATGCGACCTGCCCGAGAGCTGTGGCGTGGCGCCGGCCGGCCCAGTGAACTCAAGGGCAGCTTGGTGGAGGAACAGACGCGATTGAGAGCAAATGTTAAGGGCCCTTCGTTTCACAGAGGCTAGTCTTTGGTGCATGTTATTTTTCTTCTTGCACTGTTTTGAGCCATCTAGGAACAAAAAATCAAGGGCCATGAAAGTAAGAGGTAACTGTTACTATTTCATGCCCGTGGTCAGTTACCGAGGGGTAAAGCTGTGTTGGTTTCTTCATGTGAACACTTAGGTGGTCAGGTGAGGCAGCCAGGTGCTGGCCGGTGGTTCCTAGCAGCCTGTGTCCTGGCGGGAGCCAGCCTTAGCTCTGGCGTGAAGCTGCACCGGGCAAGTGCAGTTCTCCCTAGAGAGTTAGTTCCAGACATGTTTTTGGAAATACCACAAAGCTAAGCTATCCTGCGTTTTAGCCAGTGGTACCCAGTATTTTCATTGTATCCATGATATTCCTGCATTGTCCAGTCTGAGGTGAACAGAGTTTCTCTCAAGTAAGCAGATAAACCAAGAAAGCAAAAAACTAAAATCTTTCCCTAAAACTTCAGAGATAGAAATTAGGAACTAAAAAAGGACTTCAGAAAAGGAAAGGTACTCAAAAGAGATGCCTGGAAGCATGAGGCAGGTACAGTTGACTTATTAAAATTATCATGACCTCCTGGCCTGGTGCTTTCCATGGCCTCAGAACAGTGCGTGCAGTGTCCTGTGTGTCTTCAGTTCTTTACTTTAGCTCGTCCATGCCAGATAGAATGTTCTTTTATACTTAAGGGGCTGAATGAAATTAAGTTATAGGAGAGAGATGAAATGTCATACTTTTTCCACTGTTAAAAATTGTGCTCTTGCTGTATTTGAACAAAGCAACAGTGGTGACAGTGAGGAAAATACAAATCTTTTTCCTTCTTTGTTTTATAAAAATACTTAATATTTTTGTCCATCTTTCTCTGATTGTGTTTGTTTTAGGAATACATCCCGGTTCAGACTGGAGCAGGTGCTGATTTAAATCCATTTTACCAGAAGTACAGCAGCCGCACCCAGCATGCTCTCCTCTATATGAACCCCCATAAAATCAACCTGGACCTCATTCTGGAACTTCTCGTGTATCTAGGTATACATCGATGTTTAATGTCTCCATTTGTTTTGATAAAACTGTTAACTGGAGGTGTTTTATTAATATCTTCTACGCTGTTCCTTCTCTTCCTTCTTACTTTGAATATTGTATCTTTTAAAAACTGCAGACAGAAGTCCCCAGTTCAGAAATATTGAAGGAGCAGTGTTGATCTTTTTACCCGGCCTTGCTCATATTCAGCAGTTGTATGATCTCCTCTCAACTGACAGAAAGTTTTCTTCTGAACGGTAACTGCAAACCTTTATTATGTCCCCGGAGGCTCTAGAATAGAAAAGTGTTTACACATTAAAACTCTTAGTAGGAGCTTTCCAAGCCTTTCCACTTTTGGTTAGCACAAGTGTGTTTTTGTTTTAACATTTCTATCATAGCACTTTATCTACTAAAAATTTTAGGTGCAGTTTCTGCATTTGTTGTATTTTCTTAATAAGATTAAGGAGAGGGAGTCCTGTGGTTAAGAATAGGGTGCTGACTCCCCTGCCCACCCCCTGGAGGTGCAGAACCCCACCAGGCTGCGCTTCCCCCACACATACACTGAGTCGGTAGCGTGTCCAGTTTTCACATCAGCATCAGAACATTTTAAAAATTCTTTAAACCCTATATTTCCTATAGTTCACTCATAGTAAATTTTTTCTCTTTGATGAGTTTGTAGGTTTCATTGTACCATTATCAGAACTTCTGTGTGTGTTTAAAACTTTTCATAATTCAAAATGTTAAAGTTGCTTCCTATTTGCAAATAAATTTTGTTATTCTTTGCAGTGTCTTCTAAAGAGAAACTCTTGCTAAGAACTATGGTTTTAACTTTCAGATACAAAGTGATAGCTCTGCATTCTATCCTTTCCACCCAAGATCAAGCTGCAGCGTTCACGCTTCCTCCCCCAGGAGTCAGGAAGGTAAAGCCAGTCAGCTCCCTTGTGTGTGATCCGAGGAGAGTTCACAGCATTGTTATGACTTTGTACATCAGAGACAGTCACTGCTATGAAGTGCCTTTCAATGCCTGGCAGGCGCCGGGTGCTCTGCAGCTTAATCCACGCAGAAGTGAACCAACATGAAATCAGAGTGTCTGAGTTTTTATAGTATGTGTTACCGAAGGGGCAATACTTTGAGGAGGAGTGGTGGTTGAAAAACACGGCAAGGATGTTGCCTGTGAAAAGAATCACTGCTTTTCCCCCAAGAAGGCCTCATGAAGGAGGCTGGGTGTCAGGAGCTCTTGGAGCCCAGGGAGAATTCTTCGTTCTTTTCTAGGCTCTTCACCCCTGACTGTCTTTGTGGTGCATAGACCATTAGGTTGTGGGGGAAATTCAGCATTTTCATTGTGTCCTCTGGTAGGGATTCTGAATGAAGAGATATTTGGCAAAGAGTTTCTTGGATTTTGAACCCTCTCAGAAGGGGGACAAGGGCACAGTAGAGGAACCGTGGGGAACACGGAGTCTCAGGAGGAGCCTGGCTGTCGTGCAGGGCCTGGGTTCTCCCCTGGACTGCTACACTGCTGCGGCCTTCGGCAGTCACCCTGCCTCGCCTTCTCCTCTTTGTCAGGAGCACAACCGTAGCACCCCTGGAGTTCTCAGAGCCCCGTTAGAAAACCGTCAGTTCCATCCAGTTCCTTTGACCCAATCTCCCATTTCCACTTACGTCATTTTTAAGATGACTGACTAGAATTAAGGGAGTGGAATTTTTGTTGGAATACAAATGTGTAAGTAATTAGCAAACTGACGTGATGAAACTAATTAGAGCAAATTAAAATGACAGTAATAGCAAGTAGATTGTGAATTTTTGTAAATAAAATTGAAATTCACTTTATAAATTCGTCTTCTCAAACTCTCTAAAGCAGTTTACATGATAGCATGTTGCTGACAGCTGTTACATAAATATTTGGCTTTCTGTTTATTTTCAGATTGTTTTAGCAACAAACATTGCAGAGACGGGCATCACTATCCCAGATGTTGTGTTTGTAATCGACACTGGGAGGACCAAGGAAAATAAGTAAGTCTGACTCCTAAATCCAGCACGTTCCGCCTAAAGAGTGTGCAGCTCCTGCATTCTTAGGGGAGTCACAGACTCGAAGAGGGAGAATTCCAGACGCCCTCATTCTGCCCACAGCCAGACTGTAGGAAACTAAAATGTCTGAGAGCCAACGTCAGACATGCTGTGGGTTTCCCTGAAAGTAGCCAGTGTGCCACTGCTTTTAGAAAAGCTCTCAGAAGATTTTAGAACATTTTTGTAAATGTGTTTGTGTGTGAAGTAAATTTTTTTACAAAAGCATTATCTGTGGGGTTATAAAGAAGAACACGGTTTTGGAGTAACAGATTTAGATCTTTGATCTATAATCTTGAGCAAGTAACGTGACCATCAGCTACATCGTCAGCCTCCTCGTGTAAATGGGGAAAGTGAAAACCTCAGGTTGAAGTGCCTCGTCCAGCAAGTGCACAAAAGTAACCTTCACTGACTCTTCATGAGAAAGTGACGATTTGTAACCGTTGTAATGTGCGTGTTGCGTGAATGGACAGGACCACCTTAGTCTGTGATCACGTGACACTCTCCCTTGTGTTAGGAAACTTCGCACAGGTGGAAGTGGGTGTGACTGTCCAGCACAAAGTGAACCCTTGATTGTTAGCACTGTCTCTTTGGAGGAAGCGATTTCGGGGTTTAACTGTTTGTCTTGTGGCAAATGTGGTGAATTATAATATTCACAGGGCATTTCTCAAACTCTCTCAAATATTCTTGTAAAATTAATAGGCATCTACTAAAATAAAAAGGGTCTGTGTCAGATTAATTTGGGAAAGGCACAAGGATATTCTCTTGTGCTGAGCTTTTAGTTTGGTAGTATGTTTAGTATGTGGTGCTTGCTGAATTGTATAAACATGAAACATGACTTGGGAAATATTGGTCCACAATGACAATGGACTTTTCTTAGCCTATCTTCAACTTAATTTTAAGAGTCAACTATTTCAGCTTTTTTAGGGTTTGATTTAAGTTCAGTTATCTACATATATTTCTTTAGGTACCATGAGAGCAGTCAGATGAGCTCTTTGGTCGAGACGTTTGTCAGTAAGGCAAGTGCCCTGCAGCGCCAGGGCAGAGCCGGGCGGGTGCGTGACGGGGTCTGCTTCCGGATGTACACACGAGAGAGGTGGGTGTGGCCCAGCACTGGGTGTGAAAACAGGCGGGAAGGGTCTGCAGCCTGGCGTGGCCAATGACGTGCAGAGTGATGGCTGCTGTTTTATTTTTCAGATTTGAAGGCTTTATGGACTATTCTGTCCCTGAAATCTTACGTGTGCCTTTGGAGGAATTATGTCTTCATATTATGGTAATCCCTCAACCTCAGATCAAGTCTTTATTGTTCACCCCTTTCTAGAAAAAAAATGAAGACCTAAACTTATCTTCCCTTGTGTTGCTCCAGATGTTCCTCTTAAATAAGTGGCTCCTCTACCTCCTTTTTATAAGTGGACCCCCTGTGCTTTATTCTGCCACAGGTCCTTGTATTTTATAGGTTAAAATACAGTCTTATACCCTACCCCAGTCTTACTCAGTTTTATATACAATTGGCTGTGTCTATAGACATTTTCAGTTGTCAGAACTAGGGGGAGAGGGGAGGCCGTGCTGTGGGCATCTCATGGGTAGAGGTTAGAGGTGCTGCTAAACACTCTACAGGCCCCTAAAACAAAAGTATCTGGCCCAAAGCAACAGTAGCGCTGACATTGAGAAACCTGGACCTAAACCACGGGCTTCCTGGTCTGAAAGATCTGTAATGTCCTTCAGTTCTTAGATTTCTTTACTGTAAAAGTCAGGAATGAAGAAAGTAAAAATATGGACTGGAAGGTCTCATCCACATGGCCACCCCCTTAACACAGGCACACTCGCATGCACACACACACTGCCAGTTATTAAAGGAGAGGATTTCCTTACTCAGTTATCCTCTGTGCTCACAGTGTTACTTAGATTTAGTTCCTTCTGACCTCCTGGGTAGTGTTGACTCTCTTACTCGTTTTCAATCTGTAGAAATGCAATCTTGGATCTCCTGAAGATTTCCTCTCCAAAGCCTTAGACCCTCCTCAGCTTCAAGTTATCAGCAATGCAATGAATCTACTCCGAAAAATTGGGGCTTGTGAACTAACCGAGCCTAAGCTAACCCCCTTGGGCCAGCACCTTGCAGCTTTGCCCGTGAATGTCAAGATAGGCAAGATGCTCATCTTTGGAGCCATATTTGGCTGCCTGGACCCAGTGGTAAGATGATGACGCTGCTGCTGTTCACTTCAAATATCGTTCTGGCTTAGAAGTTATGAAGTTTAGAAACAATTTTTTTTTTTTAAATATATCTTTATTGATTTCAGAGAAAGGAAAGGAGAGAGAGAGAGAGAGAGAAACATCAATGGTAAGAGAGTCATTGATCAGCTGCCTCCTGCATGTCCCCAATTGGGGATCGAGCCCGCAACTGGGCATGTGCCCTGACCAGGAATCGAACCCCTATCGCCTGGATCCTAGGTCGACGCTCAACCACTGAGCTACGCCCAGCCAGGCTGGAAGTAATTCTTAACTTTAATTTTTTAACTAAATAGAGTGTCTGTGCTAACATTAAAATGCAGGAGGTCTGAGTGCTTGATGATAATTTTTGAATATTTAACTTTATATACAAGAAAATACATTCACACGTTTACTTACACATGCTATATAGGCACTGTTTTATATGTGGTTTGGCTTGTCTGACTTTTGCTATGAAACCATTCCACTTTGAAGTATTTATTTAATTGAATATGTAGTATTTTTGCTGATCTGACAACAAAAACAGGTATAATTTTTATTCATTCACACCAGGTGGCTGTTGTCATTTTTTTATTTAACAATCTAAGGGGAAGAGGTCAGTGCCCCTGACTGAGTAGTCGGGTGTTGCATGTTTTGAACGTTCTTGCAGCTCACCGGTTGAAAATCGCTGTAGTGGGTAATTCTTGGGAAGCTCTGAACCCCGTAGACTTTCATAAGTAGAGTCAGAAACTGTCTTCCTTCCCCTTTTCCGGGTTATCTCTCTGTGCTTTAATTCTGCCACAGGTGCTCATACTTTATAGATCAAAATACAATTTGATACCCTAATGCGAGCAGTTCTCTTTTCTCAAATTGTCTCAGAACTAACCAATTCTGTGCTTGTGTTGGAGTCTCTGGGCTCCTGCATCTGCCATGCCATTCCAGCTTCATCCAGCTGTGGCCTCTTCTGAACAACACATCAGGGCTGCTATATAAACAACAGAGAGTGTGACTTTCTCCAGTCTCTTTTCTCTAGTATTAGACACAGAGACTCCCAGAATCGTGCTGAGTAGGAAAAGTAGCCTCTGCCACCATAGTGGACCTGAAGGGCAGCAGCAGCAAATGACCGTTACATGGTCCAGGTTATCTTAAAAGTACAGGTGGGGCAACAGGCTTACAGTTGTGAGTACACAGAACAGTTTATTCTTGTATTATAATTTATTAATTATTGTATTATTTTCCATATGAACAACTGTAGACCTCCTTTTGCTCACCCTGTATGTAGAGCGTTGCAGGCAGTGGGAATTCAGCAGGCTGGGAGTTAGGGTGTTTGAACTGGGGTTCTGGGATTGCTTCTGCCTGTGACAGACGATAAGTCACTTACACATTCCATTTCGTTTCTTTTTTTTTTTTAATTGGGGGGGGAGAAACGTCAGTGATGAGAGAGTCATTGATCAGCTGCTGCCTGCACACCCCGTGCTGGGGATCAGGCCTGCAACCTGGACATGTGCCCTGACCAGGAATGGACCGGCGACCTCCTGGTGCATAGGTCGATGCTCAGCCACTGAGCCACTGGCCGGGCAATTATTCCACTTCTTTTATCTCTGATTCTGGTGATACTACTTCCTATCTCACAAAGATGTATAAAAGTAGAATGATATGTTTTTAAAGTCCATAAAATGAAGCTAAAAGTAACTAACTAAAGTGAAAGTGTGTTAGCTGTTGTAGAGGTGAGAATGTATTGAAAAGAAGAAACATGCAGCTTAAAAGTGTTATGATTTGCTTCTTTTACAGATCAGCTGTTAATGTGTCCCCTCTGTGATGGCTTGTTTGTTTTTTGTGGGTAGGCCACACTCGCTGCAGTCATGACAGAGAAGTCTCCCTTTACCACACCCATGGGTCGGAAAGATGAAGCGGATCTTGCGAAGTCAGCTCTGGCTATGGCAGATTCCGACCACCTGACGATCTACAATGCGTACCTGGGGTAAGAACTAATCTGGGTGTTGTCGAACCTGGGTGATTTACTTCTTAAAAATTTGTCTTTGACTTACATTAAAAAGATTTAAATTCATAGCTAAGACTTAAATTTATTATACCATCTTTCAAGGTATAATTAATTATTTTACAGATTTATAATTTTATAACCCTTTCTAAAATGTAAGAACAATGTGCTTTACACTACTGTGTGTGTGTTACCTTGTATTTGAAGTTAGTTTACTGTTAGACATAAACAGAAGAAATGTGTATTGTTTTTGAAATTCTTAAATAACAATTGGTGGCTCCTACAAGCAAGACCCCTCCTCTTTTTAAATGATTCTTATTTAAAGCATACTTTGATTAGTCCCTCTGAAAAAGAGTTTGCAAAGAAGACACGTGGAACTTGGGTCATTTTATTTATGTAGATGGAAGAAAGCGCGGCAAGAGGGAGGCTATCGCTCTGAAATAGCTTATTGCCGGAGGAACTTTCTCAGTAGGACATCACTGCTGACCCTAGAGGTGAGTCTTACCACAGCCGTCTTACCAGGGCCCTTGCGCCTGAGTGAGAGCTGTATTTTGGAAGAAGAAACACCTAGGATGGGGCTTGACACTTTCCCTTATCAATATTTGGATACCCTGAGGCACAGTTTGTACAAGGAAACGCAGATCGATGCTTGATTCTTCCCTTCTGCCTGCAGTTTTCACAATGAGTTGATTCCCAGTGTTCCCACGGGGGATCAGTGAATGTCATTTTTATCAAAAGCATTGTGGACCTAGTGACTTACATGTATTTGATGTGTCCCAGTCCTCTGTGGATATTTTTTGATAATTATACTGTCCCCTCTTGGACATTGAGGGCCCCTTCAGGCTTTCCCCTGAGTCCTTGTTGCACAGCAGTCTGTGTAGCTTCCTTGCTTTTGGAATGAATGACGTGGGCATTTTATGCTTCAGGCTTGGAGTCCGTCGTTTTTCCTAAGAGCTGTGGTTCCTTTTAATGAGATTCTCATACTTCCCTGAGCATCAGCAGCTACTTGGTTGCAGTGTGGGATGCTGTGTATGGAGAGGCACCGGGGCATCGGGTACCGTGTGGCTGGTTGTGACCAGGCTGGTCAGTCCACTCTTGGGGAGCCTGACACCTGCCCATCACTCAGGCGTCACTGCTGCTCAGGACCAGAACTGTTTGTGGGAGGGCAGAGAGCACATGTGAAGTCAAGTGTAAAGACAGGTGATGGTGATGTGCAGGGCTCCTCCACACACACACACACACACACACTCTCTCTCTCTCTCTCTCTCTCTCTCTCTCTCTCTCTCTCTCTCTCTCTCCCTCCCTCCCTCTCTCCCTCTCTCCCTCCCAGCGGTTGAGCGTTGACCTAGGATCCAGGTGATCAGGGTTCGATTCCCGGTCAGGGCACATGCCCGGGTTGCGGGCTGCAGCCGATCAATGACTCTCTCATCATTGATATTTCTATCTCTCTCTCTCCCTTTCCTTTCCTCTCTGAGATCAATAAAGATATATTTAAAAAAAAAAGAAAAGAAAAGAAACTGGGAAGAAGAAAAAAAAGAAACTATGTATGTCTCATGTGACTCCTCTATTCTCTGCTCATATTATAAAAGGGTAAACACATTTCATTCCCACATAATCTGACCCATTACTTTTTGTGACTTAACTGCTGGATGATAGTGGGGGCTTCTCAGTGAAATAAGCCATGTCCTTCTCGAAGCAGAGAAAGGGGTAAACTGAAGAAACAGTCACCTCTGAGCCCAGGACGTGGGAGCCCCTCAGCACTCCTCTGTCTGCCTCCCAGCCTTCCCCTGAGAGCCTTGTCTTCACTGTCCTGGGCTGCTGCTTCTATGTCTTCACCAGCCTTCGGTGTGACAGTAGCTGTCTGTGGATCTTTCCTCCCCTGGAATCAGAGTCCCCTAGGCACCAAACCAGAAACCTAAAGGAAATCCTAAATGTAAACATCACCTTTTAATCACTTGGATCCTGTTTGCTTTGAAAGCGCTCGTCCTTCCTGTAGCATTTCAGCTGATGGGCACTACTGAAGGCAGGAAGAGATTTTGGGTAACACTTTTATATTAAGCGAAGTTGCCATCAGTAAGCTTTGTCAGAGTTCTTTAGGAAACTAAGGTGAGATTCCCAGAGACAAATGAGGAAGGTACTTGCAGTCCAGGGTCAAGATTCCTCTGTGAGTCTTCCTCAGTGTTGCTCTGTATGTGACGTCCTCGCTGGGTAAAAACATCGAAAGGAAATCTATTGAAGGGAACAGGCACATTTTTACTGCTCTCCCATTCTAGACATTCGTGTGTTATGATGTCTAGTCTTGGGATGGTGGTAACAGACACATTAATCCTTGACTTTCTACTATCTTTTTTCCTCCCTAATTTAATTTGGGCTGTAGGAAACCAAATAATCATTGGGCATCTTCCCAATTTTGATAGGAAACGGTAATATAAACTCTAAAGTTATGTGGCAGTTTCTCTATTTTAATCATGATCTTGTCTCTTTTTCACCTGAACCAATCTAGGATGTAAAGCAGGAGTTAATCAAGTTGGTTAAGGCAGCAGGATTTTCATCACCCACCACTTCTAATGGCTGGGAAGGAAGCAAGGCCTCACAGACCCTTACCTTCCAAGATATTGCCCTCCTTAAGGCTGTGCTGGCTGCAGGGCTCTCTGACAGCGTGGGGAAGATCATCTGCACCAAGTCAGTCGATGTCACAGAAAAAGTGGCCTGCGTGGTGGAGACCGCCCAGGGCAAAGCACAGGTGCACCCGTCCTCAGTAAATCGGGATCTGCAGACCTACGGGTGGCTCTTATACCAGGAGAAGGTACAGTGCTCATTCCTAAGTGCCAGTATTCGGTCATTCTAGAAGTCAGCGGAACAAGTTGGGATGCCCAGCAGGCGTGGTATTTGGTTCTCAATTCGAGTTGTTCGTTTCTGTTCATATTTGAAACCAGGATGTACATAGTGTCTCAATGGGAGAAAGTCCTTATTCATTAATGAAAGAAAATATTAAGGGTTCTCTGTGACCATTACCATCTTTTCTACTTGAAATAAACATAAGTGTTGCCAAGAAACGCCGATTAATGTATCAGTCCCTGAGATTTCACTAAAAGGTACTGTCTCCAAACGGAAAAGACCTCTTCTCTGCATTTCCTAAGCGGGGGGGGGGGGG